GGCGGAAGCTGTGTGGGACTGTATGCACTGAACGCTCAAAGGACAAGCGTCGTCCACTTCTACTGACATCCAGCCGCTAAAAACTACAGAAACACACGGACCACACACACATACTCACACACAGACAAACACACACACACACACACACACACACACACACTCACACACTAGTGTATGTTTCAGGAGCATTAAGAGTCAAAACAGTTCAGATTTATTGTTTTGGCCATCAACAGTTATCAAACATAATAATTATCATTAAATGGCACTAAATTTATCGCCCCTATTAACGCAAGATTTTTCTTGTTTATTTGCTTTTTTTTTTTTTTTGCTTTAGCATTCATGAAATCAATATTTCAGATTTTAAACAGTAATCTTTTGTTTGCTAAATAGTTTGTTGGAAATGTGTGATAAAGAAATATCTTATTTGCTCAATTTACACACAAATGACTAGCCTATTATTTTGGTAATCACAACAATAATCATCACATATTGATATGGGTTAAAATGTCTATATTGGTGCTCAAAGACACACCACTCCACACACACGGATACATATAAAGATATATTTTCTCCTGTATATGCGATGCTGGATACCGATGAACCAATAATGAAATATAGACCAATATTACCATCACATTTCGTCAAAATCAAAAACTAACCAAATATCGAACTAAATATAAAAATCTAAAATAACATTTGTATGCTAAAAGTAAATGTATGCATCACAACAGTATGTAGAATATAAAAATTGGATGACTCTTATTTTCCGCTATAGATAAAAGTCTCCTGTTTGAACAAGGAATAATAATAATAATAATAATAGATGAGCACTGTCGTAAACTTGGTGTAGGATTTACTTTGAAGCTGTTTTCACTCAGAAATTGCTAGTAAATTTCACAAATGGCAACACACTGAATTAAAATTGAAATTTTAAAGTAGAAAAACTGAAAGAGCCTGTCTGTCCCTCGTTAGGAAATAAACTCCTCTACTCACGGACTGAAGCCGCGCGCTCCTCCAGAAAACACTCCACGATCAGACGAGCCAGGAGAGCCGGAGACAGGTCCACCTGACAGAGACACACAGAGACCTGCATTCACTGATCATCAATACTGTGTGTAATCGATTGATCCGATGCAGCACACATCCAGTACACACTTGGGGCTCGATTACTCCTCAGACGTCTTCATCCGCATCCAACAACACCATCATTTTAAATGAATGGAATGAGTTTATATTCAATTCACTCACTTTAATCATTTCAGTCACTTTAAAAAGCACATCAGTTTTATGTGTCGCATATTTTAACATCATTCCACAGCATAACAGCTGACAAAAATCAAATTTGAAATATTATTTAATAACGCTTCCTCCAGTGAAAAAGTGCATCTGCTGTTATCTCTCACATCAAAATCCAGTCACAGATTAGTTTAGAGCTGTTTAAACGCTGCTTGATCTGTGCAGATTTCTCTCCTGATTCACACCAGAACACTTTTTCACTGGAGGAAGAGTTATTATGGATTATGAACTCAATGTATTTTAGTTAAAA